TTTTTTTTTTTTTTTTTTTTTTTTTTTTTTTTTTTGAGCGATTGCTACTCAGTCTTTCTTCGCCACATCCTAAAGTTACGCAACAAAATCAAGCTTCAGCTTCTTCCAGCTTAATAGAAGAAACAGTGACAATATTTACTTTTTATTTTTATTCTAAATTCACTTGTTTCCTGAGCCGTTATAAAAAACAAGAAATGCCTATTCGAAAAAAGCTTATTCATTTGACCATGTTTCCAGAAGATGATACAGTCAGCAATTACTGCATTTGAGGTAGCCAAATATTGTTGCAGAAAATACAACTTTCTAAAATACAACTTTCCAATAATTCAAAAAAACAATTTTTAAGTGCATTTTATTTACAATACCAATTGAGTCGCCTTAAACTCTATTCTGAGAAGCAGGCTTAACTCTTCTTTTCTCGCACAGAGATTACTGAGAAGAAAAACCATTTATATGCTAAGGGATATTTTGAATGGTATGAGAAGCTTCTTCGATGAGTCGCTACAAGAATCTCTTAAAGTACAGGAAAACAGTTGCGAAATAGTGTTTAAATAGCTACGTGAAAAAATTCGTGAGACAAAAAAAAAAACCAGAGATGGAGGGAAGTCAGTGTAATTTGCAATTAAAAGTAACATTGAAAAATAATCCTCTGAGAAAAAACAAAATTGACCAATCATTTGGGACTGCAAAGTTTCGTCTACAAACAGGAAAAACAAGAAATTACGGGTGACAAAATTTTGTTTTTTCTACCAACAAAAAAACGCTTTATGGACGAAGGAAACAAGCGTATAATTAAAAAATAAAACCACTTTGCAAATTCTCCAAACATTTTTGCTACCCGGCTTAATGATATTTCACCACTAACAGCTGCTGCCATAACTTGTACAGTAAATTAAAAACTCAAGATAAGGTAAACTACCGTCCTTACAGAAACACCAGGAAAAAGTTTACAGAAACTTGAAGTGAAATAAGGCAATAACATCATTGAGTTAAAGCTGCACCATTCTTTTTACACGTCTCCAAAGAATTTTCTTCCAAAAACTATTCTAGTATATACAAAGCAGTATATAATCTCAGACCAAAACACTATTATTATTTATAACCGGAACTGACGCTGGAGCAGCGTGTGGCTCATTGTCATACGCCATTAATCTAAATGAATTCGGATCTTGGTAATGACCTATGCTATTTTTCCTTCTCGACGAAGCCTAAAAAAATCTAGTGCAATTTTGAAAAAGCAGAAATCAAAGGCTTTATAAAACAGCTACCAAAACTTACTTGCACATGGCCTCTATACAATGCGTCATGAACCAGAGACATGCCAGAAGCGCCAGCAATCTTTCGCTCGAACTGGGGCATAGGATCACAAAGAGCCGGTTCGTACCCAATTGGACGATTAAGGTTAGCTGGCTGTAATATTTTGGCATCCTCCCGAGTCCGATTTGGGCATTGGGTCGACAATGAAGGGTAGCTAACAGGCGACGAAGAGCAATCATATCCATTTGAATCGCTAGAAGGTCGTCCAGAATCAATACTACTTATTTCAATATGTCTTGCAACCAATAAGGGTGGAGGAGGAGCATCAGTGGTCGGAACCTGTATTATAGCAAAATGGTCTGAACTATAAAGGTCACTCACAACCAAATAAATAAATCGACAAATATGCTTACTTGTTCATAACATTATGTCATTATGTTATATCATTTATGTTAT